TATTCGTGGAGAAATACATGTGTTCATGACAGATATATTATCCATTATGGGTGATAGTAGTTCACTTATATTTTCTTATTCATCGGATTTGCACACTGTGTGTCTATGTGGTATTCTCTCCGCAGTAGTGGTTAGATCTGGTCATCTGCTTATCCGAATGTAATTAGATGACACTTATGATCTTTTAGAATTAGATTGATTCATAGCATTGGTTCGAGATTAAACTTATCTACCGTTATCGTTATTGTTATGATCGTTAAGAAAAATAATTTTCAATCACTTTTATTATCTTTTAGAATTCTTTTAGAATTAGATCGATTTGTAGTTATGGCTCGAAATTAACTATAATTTATCGTTATAATCATTAAGAAAAAATATCTATCAATGGCTTTTAGAATTAGATTGATTCATAGTTTTGTTAATGATCCGATTCAAATAGAGCAATAAGTGTAATAACAGATAATATATAAATTTTAATAAACTTATAAAAATTATTAAACTTAAACTTTGAAACTTTAATTCCCAGTAAAATGGACATACAAGTTATCTTAGAGGAAAGTAGTAAAGATAACACGGTGTTAGCTAATGTTGTAGCTTCTCTTGATCATGATTCTGTAGCTTCTTCCAGTTATAAATCAACTAATATTACTAGATGTGATGAATCTCAGTCTAATGGCAAAGTTTGGAAATACTTTGATAAAAATAAAATACCTGGATACAATACAATATTCTGGTTCTATTGGAAAATTTGGTAATACTTAAGAACTATGCATGGAATTTTTAATACTGATAACAATGATTTAGCAAGTGATATGCTGAAATAAGTAATAGAAATAAACTTATCAAAAAACATTTAAATAGAATTATCATTAAGTTTATAATCAAAGATCAACAACCACTTTTGGTTCTAATTGAAGAGAATTTTACTGAGCTAATGGCAAAGTATTTCTATTTTACAAATTATTCTTAGAAACAATAGTTAAATCAATCTTGTTGAAATATTATAATTGTATTTCACAATTTATAGGTTCTAATGTTTTAAAAATTGGGCAAGTTGTTTTCTTACTCTTGATTTGTAAACAGCAAAATTTTGATAAGAATATATAGATATTATAGTATCTTATATAGATAAAAGGTTTAGTTTGTATGAAATATTACTAGCAATGAAATATATCTTATATCCACATATAAAAAAATATTGCTGATAAAATATCCAATATACTTAATAAATAGAATATTAAAGATGAAGTATTCTTTATTATAATAGACAATAGTGCAAATATAAAAAAAGAAATTGCATTATAGACTGATTTTATAGTATTTATTAGTTTCATTAATTCTGTGCAGATCAATATTGCAACCACAACTATAGCAAATAATTGGATAATATATAATTTAATACAGTATATATCAGCTTATTTTCTTTTTTTTCACTTAGGCAAAGTT